GTACATTCGAAATTATAGGCTGAAATAAAATTCTCAAGATCATAAACAACTCATTTAATGATTCTCCACTTTGCAAAATGACCTTTTAAGATAACCAGTCAATCATGGGCCCAGGACCCATTAAGAACATCTTTATTCAGCTGAGTCACTAGTGTGTCTTTGGGTTTACTGGATAAGGCATTTTTGGAAGTGTTTGTGTAGGGAGAGCTGAGTGGTGGGACAGTCTTTGGATTAACTACCTCCTTCATGTGAGCTAGAAGGGTAGGAATTTCCCCAGCACAAATAAGTCGGCCAGGTAGCTGTGGGTACATATGGTGATCCGCTGTGGCTTGGGAATTCTTCGGCACCCAGGTTGATGGCACCTGCAGTAAGTGTAGCTATGGAGCTGTTCTGCTCAGCAAAGCAAAGCTAACACTTGTGTTTGTTGGGGATTTAAGGGAGGGGTTTTGACATTTTTCTTTGATGATGTGAGTCTTAAACTAAATCCATCGCCTTGGCTGCATTACAGAAATACAATGCATGAGCTTGGGCCTAATGGGGGGAGGTGAGTATTTAAAAAGAAGTAGAATATTTACATCAACTATAGCTGCAATTTAATCTTGCTTCATCTTTAGGATTGAAAGCCAGCCAAAAAGAGATTAGTGCAGGTACATCTCTATGACTAATTTCACTATTGCCTTTGGGATCTATAGAATCATTATAGCAGACAGTAATGGATAATTGTTGGAACTGATTTCAGATATTTGCCTTTAACCCTAGATTTCCCTAATCGCTCCCATTTTCCTGTGTGCAGACATGGAAGCACACTGAAGTTGAAATAGTAGTGGACCAGTGGGGAGGGGGAGGAAATCCTGTCGCAGCAAACTTCACACAAAAAACAGTCACATCAAAATCAGTGTCATCTCCCAGTGGCCGAGGATAAACAATCATCAACATGATGAAGAGTCTCAGTATCTTTCCTTTTCTCTTATCTAGATAGAGTCATCATTTCCCCAAACACCCCCATCCATTGAGCACTCACTGAGAAGCCCTCCTATAGAGAAGACAATACTTAGAAGCAGCAGGTATTTGGAACCTAGTCGAAGAGAGGAACTTATTTCATTAATTACTATCTTGCCCTGACTATCCCTAGACTATCCCTGCCCCCATTTCTCCAGGGATCTGATTATTTGTGAGGTTTTTCCTGGCACCCCCAGGAACACAGCTGCTGATTTAAACATTCATTGCTTCACTGGAAAAAAGCAGGAAGTATCCAACCAGCCACTCTAATTCCGATATACCTTTGCTCTGACTATGAAAGTCTCGCAGGCTCACTGCGGAACATTGGCAATACACCAGACTCCCACCCACCAGGCACCTGTAAACACTTGAGAACACTTTCTCCCAGAAAAAGAATAGTACTCTTTAATAAATCTTACAAGTTATCTTCTATACCTTAGTCAAAGTTTCTTTTCTCAACAACAACAACAACAAACTTTTGATAGCTAACTTGGCCTGTATGGTTCTTACATCCTACTACATTGAGTATTAAGGGGCCTACCGTCTGAACGACAGCCACTAATAAACAGTATGCTTGTCCAGAACATGGTTCCAAAGGATCATTTCAAAGATCATGCCAGTTCCTTAAGAATGGTATGACAGGAGATGTGGTGAAATGTATGATTTGAATGGAAGGCCTGTGGCAAGATGGTGTGACAGTGGCTACCACGACGGACTCAGACAGACAGCGGCTGAGAGGCCGTGCTTCGTCCGATCTGCTGCACGTCAGGTTGCTGTGAGTCGGACCGACTCGGTGGCATCTGTCAACAACAGAGAGCAGCGCGGCCTGCTACTCTCTCAAGGGGAAGACAGACGAGGCGGCTGGAAGAGCCTAAGAGGCAGCATCAGGTATCTGCTTACTTGAGTGCCGTTCGGTAGTGGTGGATGGCTTCCCTGCTCCGGCCTTGGTCCTTCAGGAAATTGGCATAGTTGTAATGCACCTTGGCATTGTGGGGCAGAGTTTGAACTCCAGACCTAAAAATAATAATGGGTGGGGGGGAGACAACAACAAAGTACTGTTTAGGAATGTTGCTAGATCCCTTCACATTTTACTCACCGTTTCATAAACGTGTATTTTAAATGGTCTGTTGTCTCCATGTAAACCAAAGCTTTCAAACGTTGTGAATGAGATGACTGTGAAGATGAAGTAAGAAGGCACGCACAAGTAAACAAACCTCCTACCTGTGTAACACTAACAATGCCCTTGGAACGAAATGCAGGGGTCTCAGTACTTGCCAGGAGCACAGAGAGAGCTTAGGCAGGGGCTCCGCTAGCTCATTGAAGACATCTTCCCAAAGGACCTACTTAGAGACCTGAGAGTACACCACGCAGCAAAGGAACCACACCGGCATCCAATTACCCAGCAAGCCTGGCTTTGCTAACTCAGGGTGCGGTTGGCAGAAGGTGCCACCAAGCTGGGTCTCCACCGCTGCAAGTTAGTTCTGCAAGGATAAGTATTCTACTGGTAGGAATTTCACCATGAAGCAAAACTTTCTTCTTTTCATGCCTATCTTAGGGGCTGGCTTCTATTCATGGGAACTTGATGCATTTATCTAAGTGGATCTTGGAAAGCACAGTAAGAACCAAGGACCACCTGTAAGATAACTGGGCAGCCCCTCACAGAAGGGCCAGATGGAAGGGATGATATATCCAGGGTGCAGTAAAGCACTGTTGAAACACATAACTATCCTCTAGTTCAGCGGCTCTCAACCTGTGGGTTGAGACCCCTTTGGGGGTTGAATGACCTTTTCACAGGGGTCGCCTGATTCATAACAGTAGCAAAATGACAGTTATGAAGTAGCAACAAAAATAATTTTATGGTTGGGGGTTTACCACAACATGAGGAACTGTATAAAAGGGTCGCAACATTAGGAAGGTTGAGAACCATTGCTCTAGTTCTTTAATAGTTTCTCCCCCTATTATTATGGTCTTAGTTTTACCTCATTAATCCTGTTAGGCCTGCATATGTTCATTTGTATAATCAAGATCATTTGATGCATGAAATCCAAGATATATAAACCCTTCAGATATAGTAATGGGAGTAATGATTCCCTGAGGGTCCAGAGAGGCGGGGGAGGGGGAACTAATAGTAATGATGATTATATAACCCCACTCAAGGGGAAAGAATAACAGAATGTCAGGTGAACAGGTACATTAATGGTGTAAGGGGGGGAAAAAAGGAATAACAATAAATAATAATATATAATAACAAGGGTTCCTGGGGGGGAGGGGGGATAAAGGGGAGCTGAAATCAAAGAGTGCAAGAAGAAAGGAAATGTTTTGAAAATGATGGTGGCAACAATTGTACCGTCATGTTTGATCTAATTGAACTATAGATTATTATAATATGAGTAGGAGCTCCCAATAAAAATGGAAAGAAGAACCAAAGAAAGAAAAGGTAAAATGGTTTCATAAAATGAGAATATCTACGTAACTGCAAACTCTTCTATAGAACAGGAAAAGCCCCTTTATCGTCTGCCTTCTTCCCAACCATCCTGGTTTCCTTCAAGATTATCCCTGCTGGAGAGTCCATTCTAACTCGCAGGGCAGCGCAGGGCTGCTCCAAAGGAAGGCTGAGGCTGTCCCTCTATGCAGAAGCCAACAGCCACATTTTTCTCCAGGGGAATGGCTGTGGGTTTGAACCGAAGGTCTTTGGGTTAGCACTCTGATGTTTAACGCATTGTGCCAGTAGGTCTCTTTCCTTCAGTATTCGAACCCATAAAAATAGTTTATGTGAAAGACCTTTTCCTACCTTCCTTTTCCACCTTCCAAAATCACTACTTTCTTTGTATGCACAGTTCTGAGTGGCTCCAAGTTGGAAGAAAACCATATTCCCAGAAAGTTCCTTAATTATGCAACAATTGTGGGTGGTAATTCCAGGCTTGGCTGATACAACTACCACATGCCTGGCCCTCGTATGGTCTGGAGTGAATGAAAGGAAAAGTAAAGCTAAAAGTTAATGGAGGACTGAACAGAATCATTAAAAAGACAAGTTCTAAAACTGTGATTGTTTGATCAAATGACTTGGTAAGCATTTGTATGAACAGAA